CTACTCTTATATCGAATTCCAACTGCCAAGAAGTCTTTTACGTACAACGCCAATGTGTACACGGGGCCTCGGTTTATCGTCCCATCCGAACGACTAGACAGCTGTCCTTGTCAGGCCCCTCCGTTCTGTACCACGGCCATTTTTACAAAGTAATGCTCTTGATAAAACAATTGTTTGCCAAACCAGTAATCGTAACTTGAGATATCGCTATTTGAAGTTTACATTAGGTTATAATAATATTGATAATAACAATAATAACTTTATTTTTATAACGCGGTCTAACATTTCTGTACACTGGCATATTAAAAATTAAAAAAGGATGATGCATAAAATAAAAGGTAAAATATAGAACAAAAGGTTATCGTTGATTTCAAGTCATCTTCAGTTTGAAACTCCATATAGTACAAAAGAGAATATATTAAATCGTCTTTGTCTGGGGTTAACGTTCACTCGACGCAAACTAGGTAATTTGGGGCGCGACTAACGTATGGTTCAATTTTATTTCAATAATTCGCTAGCCCATTAGGAACTTTAGCAGTGGGACGAAACCCACGAGGTTGGACAGGCGACCCTACTCCTTGTCACGTACAAGCATAGAATCGAAACCACGCCATTTGACTCCATGACAGACCTTTTGATCAAACGCGTTACCCCCGCCCCCCCATCGACCCTAATAGTAGTAGTAGTAGAAGTTTATTTATAACGTTTTACCAGTTATAAATGCACCATATTCTCAAAATGACTTCCATTACGAATTATGAGACGATAAATACATTATATAAAACAGAAATATAGTAAAACAAACATAAGACAAAAACTTTTATAAAAATAAATAAAACATTTCTAAAATCACTATAAAGGCCACATTCTAAAAGGGGGGTTGGATGGCCGAATGAATAGCGTGCTGTTTTGTAAGGCCCGTCATTGAGTCAACTGGCGTGGTTTCGAATCCCCGGTTGTACGTGACAAAGAGTGGGTTTTCTCCGGGTCCTCCGGTTTCCTCCCACTGCTAAAGACCCCTACGCGCAAGCGAATTATTGAAATAAAATTAAACCATATGTTAGTCCCGAAATGACCTAGTCTGTGTCGAGTGGACGTTAAACCCCATTTCTCTCTCTCTCTCTCTCTCTCTCTCTCTCTCTCTCTCATTCTAAAAGACAATGCTCTTCGTTTGCAACTTTTCTGTACGATAACACAAAGACCCCCTTATGGTAGGTTCACGCTATCACGATTCGCGCTACGATTGAAATCTTGGTTTTAATCGTGGATTAATCGTGGTGATCCTATCAGGTTTTATCATATATTGAGGTCAGTCGTGGCAATCGTGTTGATTGTATCGAAATGTATCTTCACGTACCAGATCGTGGACTCTATCGTAGCATATCGCACGACAGTGGGAACCGAGCATTAGCTATTTCAATCAATCTGCGCCCGACTCTAGCTATTACAGATGCATTATGTAGGATTGCTATAATAGTTCCAAAATAGATAATGCAAAATGAATATGTTGAAAATTTCATTCAAATTACTTTATTCTAAAAGAGAGAGAGAGAGAGAGAGAGAGAGGGAGAGAGAGAGAGATTGGGTTTAACGTCCACTCGACACAAACTAGGTCATTTCGGGACTAACATATGGTTTAATTTTATTTCAATAATTCGCTTGCGCGTAGGCGTCTTTAGCAGTGGGAGGAAACCGGAGGACCCGGAGAAAACCCACGAGGTTGGACAGGCGACCCTACTCCTTGTCACGTACAACCGAGGATTCGAAACCCCACCAGTTGACTCAATGACAGGTCTTATGATAAAGTACGCACGTGATAACCATTCGGCCATCCAACATCCCCCTTTATTTTAGGCGATGTTATCGCTGTTTGATGATGTAGCGTAGAATGTTTATTGTCATAGCAACGATATCTGTCAATCGATACTAAATCTAGGGTATCCATTATTAAATATAGATCGTGGTCTAATCCATTGAAATCTCGGCCATCCGACGAGATTCTTAAAGATTATCGGGGGGGGGGGGGTGGCCGAATGGTTAGCGCGTTTGCGTTGAATCATAATGTCTGTCATTGAGTCAACTGGCGTGATGTCGATTCTGCGGTTGTACATAGGGTTGCCTGTTCAATCTCGTGGGTTTTCTCCGGGTCCTCCAGTTTCCTCCCACTGCTAAAGACCCCTACGTGCAAGAGTATAGGCTTGTCATATAACATTTAAAGGCTCAATACCACTCTTGCTGTGACTGAATAATATGTCCCAATCTTTATTCTGGTCAACAAATTGTACTATTTTAGAATATTTCAATTAATTGATGATACAAATTTCATCTTAACACACCTTATTTAAAAAATTTGAAAAATTCAACATAATGGTTTGAAACGTCTAACGTAAACCTTTTCAAATGAAACTTCGATTTAAAAATATTTTCGCACCCTCTGGACAAGTAAAATAGGATGTAATGGATAATTTACATAACAGGTAGGACACTTAAACATCTAGTACTTAGATAGAGATATTATTTATTTTCTGGAGCTTTCAAGCCAGCAAGAGTGTTATTGTCCCTTTAACAGACGCGCAATAGGCAGACTTAGTTTTTACATAATGCATCTATCTTTGAGCTTTCTATAAAAATAAATCAACCAAGACGTGATCATCGTGCGGAAATCAATATCAACCATTTTTTTTCTTTTTTGCTTAGACCATAACCAAATATAGACATATCTTGTATCACGTGGTTCCGTTTATTACACGTAATTAATGGCTTCTTATCTACTTCTACCAACCCGTTGCTAAAAACATTATTCAAACAACTTCAGATTATGTGCAAATATTTATTTTAGACCTGCAAACAATACATCTGTATTTAATTATTTTTTTTTATGTCGTATCAATTAACACCAACTAATATAATGCTTTTGTTCATGTCTGAGAATCTTAAGTAGATGTGAATGGCATTAGATAATTATTACAGATAATTCAATGACCAATATTGGCAGATGACCGGGTTGTGGCTGTTCGTAGCTACGTGTCGTGAGCGGTGTAACATAATATTAAAATTCAAACGCTAATATCTCGGTTCAGAGTGGAGCAATTTGACGGAAATTGTCAGAATATTCCCTTTACATCATCTAGTTTTTAACTATTATAGTAAGAACTGCCAGCTCTTTATCTAATCTTCCATAATTCCCCTTTAACAATTAAATGTGTTGTAGGTTATTACAGATATCATACTTTCGCAAAGTCATGGAACAGAACAGTAGGACTTTAAACCCCATTTCATTTCATTTCATTTTCGCAAAGACATAATTCGTGGAGAAACATATTTATAAGGGTATCGGTCTGCCGGTGGATAGAACAGTAAAATCCTAGAGCAAGAGTTCTTAAACATGCATCATGCAAGAGCTAAATCAGCCTATTCCAGGCCCCGGGTTCACTAAGCATTCTCAGACTTAATTTATGAATTTACTCAACTTTCAATCACTGTTTATGAGTAATATCTTTGATCCAGAATCACAAAACTTTGCACAAAGTTTCTTATTGATGTATTTGATACATGAAAACAACAAATGTTTTATAAAAGGCGATATTTTGGTTAAAATAAGGCAAATAATTTTGAATAAATTCTTAACTTAAGTCTGAGAATGCTTTGTGAACACGGGGCCAGGTCTTTCTTTAGGCCTTAAATGTCATCTAAATTATTATTAATTCACCAAGACCATAATCAACTCTCTGTGCAAACAGATGCCTGCTATGTTTTGTGGATTTGAAAACGCTTTTTGGTGAATGAAATAACCGTAAATATGGATAATCGAGACTTTGTTTATTATCGTACCAACGGTAGTAATGACGATCGAGGCTAGCCTAAAATTGAATCGCTGATATCTACATGTAGGTTCAGAGTGAAGCAATTTTACTGAAATTTTTAGCATAATCTGTTGATGTTATCTATTTGTTAATTATTATAGCAAGAACGAACTGTCAGCTCTTGATCTAATCTTACCTAATTTTCAGCATATTCTCTTGCCATTATCTAATCTTACCTAATGCCCCTTTACAGTAAGAAAGCGAATGTGTGACAGGGCTTGGCTACATGAGAAGGGGTAGAATGGGGTGCGAATGGTTTAGATCATATTGTCTCTGTTTTAGTCACGTGGGCGAGGTATCAATTCCAACCTTGTAGGTGACAAGAAGTAGGGTTACCTGTCCAACCACGTGTTTCTCTGGGTCCTCCGGTTTCCTCCCCATGCTAAAGACCCCTACACGCAAGCGAATTATTGAAATAAAATTAAACCATATGTTAGTCCCGAAATGACCTAGTTTGTGTCGAGTGGACGTTAAACCCCATTTCTCTCTCTCTCTCTCTCTCTCTCTCTCTCTCTCTCTCCAACCCCGTGTAATTTCTCTTATATAACTATAATTATTCTTCCGCACCCAAAGATGGCGGAGATATTTAGTTGAATTTGGTATACACAGATTCCGCAGTTGTACGTGACAAGGAGTAGGGTCGTCTGTCCAACCTCATGGGTTTTCTCTGGGTCCTCCGGTTTCCTCCCACTGCTAAAGACCCCTACGCGCAAGCGAATTATTAAAATAAAACTGAACCATATGTTAGTCCCGAAATGACCTAGTTTGTGTCGAGTGGACGTTAAACCTCTCTCTATACAAAGTAATATCCATCTTCAGAAACCAAACGACCGAAATTACTTATACAAACACCAAAACAATCACCCCACCCCCACCCCCAGAAAAAAACTCAAATTTGTTTTTCTATACTTCTGGTTCGTATTTGATTATGAGCGTTGGGGAATTATTTTAGAAGAAAAGTAAGCGGAAATACCGCTGTTCGTGTAAAATTTCCCTTATATTACATTACGTAGTGCATGCCCGTCTTTATAGTTGAATTGACTGCTTTTACTGTTTAAATATTTTGTACATTTGAACACTTTATCAATAAATTTTCTCTTTTATTAATATCAACATCCCTTTTCTTTATTTCTTCAGGTCTTTCCCGTGTTATTTGTGACAAATCTTCAAATAATGAACTTAGCAGGGTACGAAGAGGGGGCTGGAGTATGTTACGTTTAGGTCGTGGCCTTCAAATGCTGAGGCTGGGAAAACGGACGCAGCCTATGATGTCTCAGGATGATGTATTGGATGCTCTGAAATCAGCTCTGTATGATCAGGAAAAGAACTTCAATTCGCGCCAGGTTCCATTGCCAAGATACGGAAAAGATCTTGAATGGCAAAATTATTTGGATAAAAAAATTCTCGGGGATACCGTGGGAGATGAAGAAAAACGGGAATCTGCACTTCCGGTAGACTCCTTAATCGCAGAAGCCGTAGATGGATATAGACGTCCTCGACCAGCACCGCGTGGAGGTCGCTTCAGGAGATCAGCCCACTACCCTGATGAACTTCAATCCAATTCTATTCAGCGAGCAGTTGCGTTACCACGATTCGGCCGATTTATCGAAAACCAAATTAAAAATACGGAAGGCAAAGAACGTGCTGTTCCCGCACCACGATTTGGACGAAGTACGTAAATAAATTACAGTGTGTTAATACAATTCTAGGCTTAAATTAAAGAAAACCAAACAAACAATGAATAATTTAACATCAGTACAAAAAGGTGTAAGCGGCTATCAAGAGAACAAAAGGGGACTTAAAATTAAATACTGGAATATTGGCCGCCAATAGGAGTTACTGGAATATTGGCCGCCAATAGGGGTTACTGGAATATTGGCCGCCAATAGGAGTTACTGGAATATTGGCCGCCAATAGAACTTTAAATACTGGAATATGTTTCCTGATGATCAAACACATTTCGGAGTCTTTGATTTTGAGACTACAGCCGGTAAAAATGCTCATCCATTACATGTAGTTATATTGTTGTGTATTATATGCTTTCAAATAAATTAACACAATTTTCAAGATGAACATTATTGCTTTATTTCTTGGTATTGTGGCGTGATTATCCACCAGTCTCACCTAGAAAATATTGGAAGCCTTTTCAAATGGAGACTTTAACCCAATCTGATTAAAATACAGATCTATATTTCATTTCTTTTTTTTATCCTTTCCATGGTCTCTAATGCATGAAGATATGTCCAGTTGTAATGGGACGTCGCGTCAGGGGTCATATGAATGGTTTTTGGGCCTATGACGTCAGAAATTTGATTAATCAACTAGCTTAACAGACCGTTTTATTGGCTAATCCCTCACATCAACCAGAAAGTAAAACGAAATTTTGAACTATAAAAAACGAAACGAAATAGGATATGTGTTTTAATCAGATTGTTTAGCAAAAGTTAATAGTCTACCTTAAAAACTATCAATTATTAATATATATTGGAATGCACGTAAAAGATCCCTTGGCAGTTGGAATTCGATATAAGAGTAGGCGATAGTGCCGCTGCCCGGGCAAACTTTCCCGCATAGCACACTGTATGGTGTATGCCCGTCTTCATTAGCCCAGTATAGGAGCAGAACAGTAGGACGTTAAACCCCATTTCATTTCATTTCATTTCATTTCACCATAATCTAATATACAATGTCCTTATGTATATACAAGACCAAATTACCAGACGCCCAATCCAATGTTCCTGGTCGCCATTTACAGTTTAGCCGATTTAATCCACGCACCAAATTAATATATATAAATTGATTGTCTAATATTTAATTAAGGAAAAGACCCCCACCCCCACCCCACCACTACCATCCCCTCACCATCAGCCCCACAAAACAATATAGGAAAATATAGGCCCATCCAACGATTTTAACTAACGCTGTTATCGTCTATAGAAATTGACGAATATTGCGAAATTCATCTTATCTTTGTAACTGCTTTGGATTCAGATTTTCGGGACTGAACCTTCACAATATTATAATTTGCCGGATATTCAAAATTGATGAAACCTTGATCAGCGGCTTAAAATCATGGAAGCTTCTACGATATACAATCCGACATTTTTTTTTAAACTATGTATTAAGAAAATCCACGTGCCAACGTCCTTTTATAATAAACAATATTTTTTTTTAGAATTTTCCACGTATATTGAATAATGAAATATAAGCACGCTCACCTTCATTTTTTTTATTTATAACAAGGCACATAAATAGTTTGGGTAATTGGACTCTGTCGACTGATAGATTAAAGGCTTTCGGTGAAATTATTTTCATATGAACATAATAAAATGTATTATTTTCATTTGAAGAGTCAGCGTGTTTTCATCGTTTATATTCAATATGTAATGGTTAGTTTCAGTTCGATTAATTTAAATGTGGGTTGATTCGAATGTAGGTAGCACAACTAGGTAACGGGTGGGGGCGGCCATGTTCTTTATACGAGTACGTCACATCCTATTTCCATTTTGTTTTAGGTGGAGGTGCACTATGTATTGTTTAATGGTCGAGAGCGAGACATTAAGTAATATATTGTAACAACATGAGGGGCGTTAGGCCCGAATGTTTTTACAATATATTACGCAATGTCGTAAGCTCGAGACCATTAAACATCTTAAAATACTGACACTCCGCACGAGCTTTTATTAGTCCAATATCTCACTGGTTTGAATAAAGTACTATTGGCAAGTTGCCCGTACGATTATTTGAAATAATGGTACGCCAACATCAAAGGGTGACGTCACATCTGTATTTTAAGAACAGTTATTTCGATCGCCGCTTCTGATGCATTTTTCATTTTAGATTTGTTGAAATATTATTAATGACTTGCAGTTTAAATAAACAAATTTCAAATATTATTTCAAATTTCCAACATATATCATATTATTTTCAAATTTTCAAAATATGTCAGATTATTTATTAAATTTTCAAAATATGTCCAGATTATTTTCAAAATGTATCAGATTATTTTCAAAATTTCAAAATAATTCAGATTATTTTCAAATTTTCAAAATATCATTTTCAAATTTTCAATTTTCAAAATATCATTTTCAAATTTTCAATTTTCAAAATATCATTTTCAAATTTAAAAACAATTTATCAGATCATTTTCAAAATATCAGATTAATTATTTAAAAATGATGTCAGATTAATTTATTTAATAATATATCAGATTTTATTTAATAATATATCAGATTTTATTTAATAATATATCAGATTTTATTTAATAATATATCAGATTATATTATTTATATATCAGGAAATTGTTTATTATTGAGCAACGTTGCAAATAGTATTCTTTAACACAATAAAAAGCAATAGGATTCTTAAAAAAACCAAAAAAAACAATTATTGTTTATTACTGAGCGACGTTTCAAATAGGATTCTTAAAAAACAAAAAACAATTACTTTTTCTTTCTGAGCGACGTTTCGAATAAGATTCTTAAAAAAACAAAACAATTACGAGCGACGTTTCGAATAAGATTCTTAAAAAAACAAAACAATTACTTTTTCTTTCTGAGCGACGTTTCAAATAAGAATATCTATTCCTTAAAAGGCAATTGTATATTACTGAGCGACGTTTTAAATAGGAATACCTATTCTTTAAAAAGCTATTGCAGTTTATTATTCTTTATTGATCTGACATGAAATTAGTGAATGGGTCCAGTCCAAAACGTCCAATGTGCTGTATAGGCTCTGTGCCCCGTGAACTATGCATATCTTTAATTTAAAGCGACAGGGTGAACTTATTTCGAATTCCAACTGGTAAGGGCCCCTTTAAGTGCACGTGCCTATGTACACCGGGCCTTGGTTTTTGGTATTCGAAAGACTAGACAATGTCCATCATAGGTACCCTGTTCTGTACCACTGACAAGTTAAAACAACGCCTGTAGATTGCGAGGAACCTTCTTAACCACCACCGGAGAGGCCAACCGCGCGATCTCCAGGGAAACCTTCGGTTATCGTGATTCCTTGACTATGGTCGAACTAACTGAATCCGAATTTCATTTAGTCCGGACCATAGTCCGAAAATACTAAACCATGCTATTGTGGCATGGTCGGAGTAGTTCCAAGATGGCGGTGTCGATGAAACCAAAGTGTAGAATATTTAAAAAGAATCTATTTTTGTTAAGTATATGATTTTAGGAAAGCTTGAATGAATTTTAAATGGTTGCTACCTATTTGATCAGATATTTTTTGTCTCGTATGTTATGTCTGAATCTATGTAAGTCTAAAAATTACGCACAATTTCAATACTTGCGCTATGCAAAAAGTAAAGTCAAATTACAAGGAATTTTGTCGTCTCTAAAATTAATTTGAGTCGCGCAAATTTAACTTCATGAAAGTATTATTTGTTTATTAAACTATATAACACAGCGATTCATTATCCTCCATGGAGAGATTATAGACCTTCCTTGAGCTTAAGGTTTTTTTTTAGGGTTATGCTCTAGGTCTAAAGCAGAGTGAAATGACATCACAATGTTCCTGGGGGCAGCCGTCTTTGAACAGACGATAGTCCGGACCATCCGCGTTCGGTTTTTAGTTCCGACCGCTAGTCGTGAAAAAACTATAACCGAAGGTCGCCCTGGTTAGCGAGCCACTAGTTAGTCAAATCCCAGAAGTACCGGAACGAAACGCCCGACCTCCTAGTTAGCGAAGCACCGTCTTACTCACTGAACCAGTTAATCAAATCCCGGAAGCACCCAAACCCAACGCGCGACCACCGTCTTACTCTCTGAACTAGTTAGCCCAGCCCAGGAAGCACCGGAACCAACCGTGCGACCTCCTAGTTAGCGAGCCACCGTCTTCACTCACTGAACTAGTTAGTGCAGCCCAGGAAGCATATAGGTCAAAAAAAAGTATTGAATGTGTTGATCTAATGTGATGTGTTATTTCTGATAGTGATCGAACAACTTCTATACAATTAAATTATGTGTGTACAGACAAACCGGAAGTCAACATGTTTACTAATTGAAGTCCATATTTAGCCGACTGTGTTGACATTGGAACACACAATCGTTTTATGGTATTATGTATGGACGTAACATTTAAAAGACGTCAGATTGTTCCCCAAACCAACATCTAAAATTCAATTAAATCAACAATTTTACTTTGGACCCCAATCAGAGTCTAGCCATTTTTAAGTCGCAATTAAAACAAGTCAACTGTTACACAATATCCAATAATCCATTGTCTGAAATATTTATCCACAGATCTTGCCCTCAAATATCAAGATCACACTGGGGAGATCCTGCACTTCGATAACATTCTCATCATGTGCGACATTTAATGGGCGTGGGCATGCTTTTAATTGGCATAATCAGGAGATAAGGAATGGTAAAATGTTTCGCATTTTCTGTATTTATTATTTACCAGGTGATGTCTATCAGTTTAAACAACAAACCCATCTCTTTCATATCAATAATTACATACGCTGACATTTAACATGTGCTTTGATCAATCGACGAGGGCCGTTGTTCAATCAAACGACAGATTACCATAGTCTTTGTGGTTTTGCCGAAGTCTAGTGATGGTAGACTGCTAATGAAGGATAATTAACAGAACGAAATAAAAGGCATTTCCTGCGTATCTCACCTTTTTGGATATTTACGATATCTATCTCTCTTTCATCGTAGCTCGTAAATTCTCGGTCGTTATTTTTAGCTTTTCTCCTCTAGGCAAATAGTGACATCATCACGCACTGTGTATAACGACACGACATCGTGGTTTGTACATGTGCATGGAATATAGAATTTATAAGTTTCCAAACACGCATCGCTATGCTTTCTGAAATCCCCGCGAATGTTGTGTAGAGGACGTCATCGCAAATTGTGTGCACTTCGGTACTGCGTCACACTACAATAGTTCCTTTCAGAACTGAAACGTCATAAAACATGAATCAAAAAGAGTAGACACCATTTAGGAGTACCATATAATTAACCGAAGTACAATCTTACTGATAAGATGTAGGCTTAGTCTATCAGGTCACGCCCACTTCAGCTAGGGAAAAAAAACTGTTGTTGGCAGAGAAAGTT